TGAAATGCAATAAATTCAATTTGTCAATTTTTAATGACCAGTTATATTAAAAAAAAGAAGTATAAATAAATGGGTATTATCTTGTAGGCTTAATAAATAATGACCTAAGATGGACGTCCACTGGACGTCAAAATACTACTAAACTTAAAATTAAGTCCAAAAACAGACGTTCTCTGAGTATCGGTATTCAGCTGTCAATTTAATTAGCATAAACGGAAGTACACTGGATGCCCGGATATGGACGTCCTGGCCCTCAAATAGATCTAAAGTGGACATCCATTGGACGAAGTTTTAGAAATAGTACTTATTTAAGTATGCACCAATATTTCCAAAATCAACTCGAGTATGATTCATTCAATAAATGTAAATATGAATGGGCAAAACATCTTTGACCAATCCTAATTGAAACACGCGAATTTATTATATTTTTTTAATTATAATTTCAAAATAAAATAAACAAAATCTGCAGTTCATTGTTTATTAAATTTATTTAAAAGAAGAAAAACATATATTTCACAAAATACAATACCTACATATGAAAAATAAAATGTCAAAAATGATTAAATCATTATACTTAATATTTATGCATGTGATAAAATTCTTAGTTTTCTAATAACTTTTTGGGTACATTTTATATCTGTATTAGAATATCTAAGTGTGTAAAAATCTTCATCTTATTACTACACAAAACAAACACCACTTAACATTGCTCACGTACTAAACACAACTTGGACTGACTTTGACAGATAACATAATTTTGAGTGATACACAACTTATTTTCGCACATGCGCATTACAAAATGGTACACTGAAAACACCAAGCTGTCGTTTCTCCTTGATCGGTATTCTCGGGTAAAATATTGTATAAGTAAAACTAACCAAGGACTTGATTTTTACTGAAAGCGAGTTGTTGCGATTGTTAGTCAAATCGTGAATGCAAAAATTCGCTAACAGACTTAGTGAGTTTTGGCAATTACTAAAAATTGTTGAGTTGCTTTGTTGATATACGTAGTTAGTGATTTTTCATGGTCACGTTAACTTCGGGATGCCGATTTTGTGCAAGTTTACCTAAATAGACTTTGAATGTGTGAATTGTTACTGGAGTATTATAAGTTTGTACAGACATGAATTCTAGAGGAAAGCGTATGGTTGAAATGCTAAGTCAAAATATAACCTAAACATTTTTTGATGGTATAATGAAATGAGCGTATCAAATCGATTGCTTTGCATTATTGCAAACACAATCGAGAAAGCATCTGTAAGTAAATCATGTCAAGCATATAATAATTGTACCGAAAGTTTAGTCCTTCCTTCTTGTAGTAAACAGTTTTCAGAAAATATTATATCGAACACAAGTGGAATAGAACTGTTACAGAGAAGTACTGATGATTACAGTGATGTAAGTATAGCTACCTATCCTTCGAAAATATAGATAGGTATTTGTTTCCAACAAATTTTTCTTTATGCAGCCTAAAGATCACTACATGAATCTATAGATTAGTAATACTGTAATCTTTTAGAGTGAAGATTATGATGATTCTGTGAAGGACAAGACGTGGGATCCAAATCCAACATCCAAAAAACATAAGAATTTAGGTAGCTCTGATTTCGATGATCCAGATGTTATACCATTGCCTGAAGAGACTGTACATGTCGAGAATGAATCTGTACCTTCATCTAATTAGAGCAAGTAAAAACAGAACCGAAAACGATCACGTTGGTCGAAATCTAACCCTTCAGAGTGGGCCAAAAATGTTGCAAAGCAGAGGCGCTATGATTGCTTGCCTTATGCAACCAAAAAAGAAATGCATGAGGCTAAATTTCCACGACCAGTCGACTGTAAAAAATGTAGATTTAAATGTTTGGAAAACCTTAATGAAAATAATAGGGAAGAAATTTGTAAAATATTTTGGGGTTTATCAAACTACGAACGTCAAAAAAACTTCATCTTAAAGCATGTAAATTCGAGTGTGCCATGTCGTCCTGGTGCAAATGTTGCTCCCATCAAAAGACGAGCGTGCAGTCGTTCATTTCACTTTGTTAGAAGTGGTATTAAAATACGTGTCTGCCAAAATTTTTTCCAGAAAAACCTATCCATTAGCAATGGACCGATCAATACAGCATTTAAAGGGCAAACAGATGGAACCTTCGTTGAAAACGATAAGCGCGAAAAAAATGTCCACCTAATAAAACAAAAGCTGACGATGTAGAGATTATCAAGCAACACATTCAAATGTTTCCGACCATGCAATCGCATTATTGTCGCAGTAAATCTCAGAGGTAGTACCTAGATTGCAAACTTTTAATTAATCTAATGTACGCTTTGTATGAGGAGTTCTGTAGAGAGAGTAATAAAGTGCCTGTAAGTCGAGCATGTACAGAAAAATATTTTGTTCCCATTTAAATTTGTCATATTTTGTGCCAAAAAGACCAATGTTGCTTATGCAACCAATACAATGTAGCAAAGAAAACTGGTACGATACCTGACGACCTGATCACGAAATATCAAGATCATCATTGTAGTTATAGTTATTACATTAGTATTATTATTGTTATTATTTATTATTATTAATTATTATTATGCTTCCTCGCACACAGACACAATCGTGTCTCAGCGGATGTATGAATGTTTATTTATTATTTTTTTAAACTATTGTATCTACTAAAATGTATATTTTTCTTTAAATTGAATAAACATTATTATTATTATTATTATTATCAAGCACAGAAAGATGAAGCAAATCGTGCTAAGGACAATGACAAACAAAAATCCTATTCGGATTCTGGATTTCTTCCTGTAACAGCTGATCTACAGAAAGTTCTCCAAATTTCATCCGCTAGCGAATCTTTTCTTTATTATTCTCGTAAACATTGTATTTAAAATTTTACGATCTATGAGTAAAAGTTGCCTAATGATGCCTATTGTCTAGTATGGTCAGAACTGAACGGCAAAAGAGGCGGTAACGAAATTGGGACTGCAATAATGCATTGGCTTGATAAACTTTCAGAGACAGTTAAGGAGATCTCTATATTTTCGGACACATGTGGTGGACAAAACCGCAACCAGCATATTGCAGCGTTATTTCTCTACCTCACCCAAACTATTCATTTAGATGTTATCGAGCAAAAGTATTTGGAGTCAGGACACACTTTCATGGAGGTAGACAGTATGCACAGTACAATAGAAAATGAGCAGCGTTTTGTGCTTGTCTATTCAGTATCAGACTGGATGAACGTTATGAGAAGAGCAAGATCCACAAAAAACCGTAAAAGCGCACAATGTGCACCAGCTAACGTTTGCTGACATGGTAGATTTAAAAGAATTATCTAAACGCATTATGAAAAATCGCACTAAAGATGAAGATGGAAATCAAGTAAACTGGCTGCGGATTAAATGTTTACGTTATGAAAAACAGCACCCTGGTAAAATAAAGTATCGGTATGGTCACGATGGCCCCTACAACACAATCAATATACTTGGTAGAGGGAGAAATGTTAACATAAGTCAAACGAATGTTAAAAAGGCTTACGATAAACTGCTTCCAATCAGTACTTTGAAGAAAAACGATTTGCTAAAGCTTTGCCATAAAGGAATAATACCACAGGAATTGCATCCATGGTACGAGTCTCTACCTGCAGATAGCAAGATAAGAGAAAAAACTACTGAACCAGCAGTGGGTGAAGAGTCTGATGAAGATCCATAGACCATAGAACTCAATATTTTGCGTTTTCTATTCTTTAATTTTCTTAATTCATGTATTTCTGTTTTTGAAGTTAATAGTGCTGTTGAATCTGTAGTACTTTAGCAATATTTCCTTAATAAACATTATTTTCAACTGCAAATGTGATGATTTTTTTATTTAAGAAATCGAGAGAATTTAAAGTGTGTAAATTGAGTTTTATTAATAAAACTCTGTAAAAATTAGTCCAAGCGCTTTCAGCCTATTAGGCCATCATCAGAGACTTCGTCAAAAACTATAGAAGAAGCATGAAAATTGAACTAAATTAAAAAAGGACAGCAACAAACCGGTCCCCAGTCTCCACCATTGCTTGCAGCTTGGATAATAGAAAATAAAAGAACCTCACCGAAAATGTGGTTAAATTTTACGAAATGACGTGGGGGTTCATCCCAACAAGTAAAACTAAACACTCCCAACCATTAAAAGGCAGAGAAACTGCTGGTTTTCAACATAAAGACAGCCAAATTTTTCAAGTTGCTACCGTGAGGCGGAGGCAAGTTGGGGCACAAAAAATAGTAGAAAGTACACGATATTTTTAAGAACGTTCTGTCTGTTGGTTTTCTGCCAACTTTAAAAAAATTTGCGTCGAACGACCCTCGAGTGCTTTTTTTAATGTGCACTTTAGTTTGTTTTTGAAATATTTGTGTCTAGTAGAGTCAAAGATAATAAAGTAGGATTATCTTTAGTAGTAGTATACATAGTTATTATTTGGGTGCCAATATGTCCTTTTAACTTATTAGTAAAGCAAATGTGCGGTTTTTATAATACTGAATTACCTACAACAAAATAATAATAAGAAGAAAGAAAATGGAAAACATAGACGTTATTGGACAACAAAAATGTTCCAGTATAGAAGCCAGGGTGGTGGTGAAAACCTAATGAAAACGTTAGCAATCGATGAGACAAAGGGCCAATTTAGAAATTTTTTACGAATTTCACAAGTCGATTTTCAAATTTTATTTAAGTTGGATGAACCTAAATCAAAGAAAATTGACCCAAATTTCAGAAAGGCTATCTCAGTTAAAGAAAGGCTAGCTCTCACTTTACGATTTTTGGCCACGGCAGATTCTTATTCAAGTTTGCAGTATTTGTGTAAAATCTCGAAACAAGCTATATCAAAAATAGTTCCAGAAGTTTTCACTGCACTTATTGATTCTTTAAAAAATTATGTAAAGGTAAGCTTTTGAAAAATAGTAAGCTATTACTAGGAATAATAAAACTGAGAATTTTGTTCCGATTATTATTTTTTATTTTTCTAAACACGGCACTACGCTACAATGTAATGAAAGGCTGCAGCGAAGTAAGTAGGTTGTCTTCCTCCTGTGCTTGTTTATCTGGTTGAGCAGAATTCGAGGAACTATTAGTGTGAGCTGACCAAGGAGACCCTTCCGCTGCATTTGGAGAAAAAGCAGGAGTTGGTACTTGTGTTCTAAAGTGAGGGTCATCCAAGGGGTTATCATAGTATCCCATCTCTGCCTCAAAAATAATTTGGTTAATAGCGTGTTCAATCATAGCTCTTGTTCTGTCTGAAAACTGCCTTAGTTTATTAGCCAAATGTTGCGTATACATTAAATTTGGATCATCTGGTTGTTGTAGAAAATTTAAGATGGCCTGTAATTGACTATCATTCACGCTATCGGTTTTAGATTGTTTTTTACGCTTCGGTGTTGGTGGTTTCATAAACTTTTCCTTTTCTTTTTTGGAATCTGCCACTAAGTACGCGTTACTGGTTGAGCTACTAGTTTCTTCAATTTGTGTAGGATATGCAGAAGTGTCATTGTTCTCTTCCCTGATTTCGGTAGGCTGAGATGCAGGCTCAAATTCACATTCGTGGTTTTCGGTTTCATTAGCATTACTACTAGTTTCCTCGCTGACTCGTGACTCCGACCTGAAAGAATAAAATTAGTTTTTTTAGTTGCCTTCAAAGCCAAAAGCCAAAAGCCAATTATTGCTAAACAATTTAAAATAATCTGGTATTTTCCACACTGCGCAGGTTTGATGGAAAACACATTATACTACAATCTCCCAGGTGTAGTGACAGCGACTATTATAACTACAAAGGATTTTTTAGCATCGTGTTATTTGCAGTGGTTGATGTTAATTATAATATAATATTCGCTGACGTGAGCTGTAAAGGAAGAATTTCTGACGAAGGTGTTTTTAGGAATAATGAAATTTATCGTTGTATGCAGGCAAAGCTTTTACAATTACCAACGGCAACAGAGAAAAACAAGTACCCTCTGTCTTTATAGCTGATGAGGCTTTTCATCTTACTGAAAACATAATGAAACCATACTCAGGAGAGCATCCAAAAGGATCTAAAGAAAGAATATTTAATTATCGACTTAGCCGTGCTTGTAGAGTAGTAGAAAATGTATTTGGGATAATGTCATCAGTTTTCCGGCTATTAAGGTAACCTTTGTTGTTGGAACCAAGTAAGGCGGAAATTATTATTATTATGGCAATACTGCACGTGCACAATTTCTTGCGAAATAGTAAGACATCTGGAACTTATTTGTTTTGGCAATTAGTGTTGCTTACCTATTAGGAACCATTGCAGTTCTAAAAGGCATACCTGCGCACAGTTTTTAAATGTTAAAGTCAGTAGCGACTTGAATTCGAACGTGAAAATAATAGATTACGGTCTTACAATAATTAATATTCTTTTTCGATATTTCTTTTGCCGATTTCGGGTGTTAATAATAACCACCTTCCTCTCTATCCCTTCTATTTTCCCTCCATAGGTGGTGAAACCCTAATATTTGAGAACGAACCAGCATCTACCGGTAAGTTTTTATCAATCATTTCGGTTGTGTACATTTTTTATACGACATTTTTTTGGTACCTTTCTCGCTGAAAGACTTAAAAGTTTTAAAAATAAATCAATTTAATTTTTCTTTTGATTTCATTGTCAAATTAGTTGTCGAGTTAAATTTTTTGAATAATTTGTATTATACAGGGAGATTAGGTAGCCAAATTTGATAGACCCTACATTATCCACCTACATTTTAGTTGTCGTTGCTAATTAAAATAAAATCCAAATATATTAATCTGAATCCAAATAATAGATTTTGTCGTGATAATCGAGATAACATACCTGGATACCCATTTTCGTAATATATTAAGCCAATAAATACAATAATTTCGTCCAAATTTAGATACATTTTCTAGTTTAACTTTGATAACTAAAATAAAAACATTTGAATTATTTCGTGAGCTGATCAACTATCTAAAAAAAGTACCTTTTTTGTGTCCTTTCGGTAGCAAATATTATTTTTTTTATTTCGATATAAAATTTTATTGATATTTTATTTCGATTTATTTAAAATGCCTACTCAAGAAGAATTTAAATTAGATAGATTGATTGCTCGTAGAGAAAATTTTTTTAGTAGAACCCAACTCTGTTACGATGTGGCAAAAGACGTTGAAAAGAAATCCTAATTCCAGTAGCAAATTGGAAGCCATTTCTATTCGTTATGCTACTTTTTCCAATGTTGTGCAGAAATTTCACTCAGTTGTAGAGGAAATCGTGATATTAAAACAAAAACTTAAACAGGATGAGGCTCCGAATTATGACTTGCTAAACACCTTTGACGATCTTTATGGTACGATTGAGTATTTAGCAGCTAAATTTTTACCCTCTTCGACTCCAGATCCCCCAGAAAGTACTGATCCAGACAGAAGAGTTCGTATGCCAAAGCTTGAACTTGTAAAATTTTCGGGCGATGACCTATCAGTTTGGCCTTTATTCTACGAAAATTTTAAATATTTGATTCACCGTAAAAGTGAATTTGCAAAGGCTGAAAAATTACAGTATTTATTGGGAAGTCTTACTGGAAAAGCTTTAGTAACTTGTAATGCTTTTGAAGCTACCCTTAATAATTATGATTCAAGTTGGAAATTATTAGAGGATACCTATAATGACAAAAATATTTAGCCGATTTGTATTTAGATGGAATTCTAAATTTTCGTTCTTCGCCCAGTAGTGGTCCAAACATTTTAATTTCATTTTTAGAAAATTTCGATACTGCGGTAACTTCCTTGAAACGTTTGAAATTAAATGATATTTGCGAATATATACTTACCTACATTGCTCTTTCAAAATTGTCCAAAGATACAATTGATGATTTTGATTTAGTTACCCCTCAAAATGATATCCCAAAATATGACGACCTTGTTAAATTTGTTCGCCAAAGAAGTAGGAATGTAACAAGAAATGATAAACCCCAAAATTGCTGCGGTCCTAATTTGTCACATTCTAAATCTAGTACTTTCCATAAAAACCCAAAAAACCTTTATGGCCAATAACTTTGCCAAATTCAATTATATAGTTTGCGCACACCAACAACATTATTTGAAAGATTGTTCTGTTTTTAAAAGTTGGCCATTCGATCAGAAGTTTAAATTTGTAAAGGATAAAAATCTATGCATTAATTGTTTCTCAAACATAAAGTTAGTAATTGTCCATCTCGATTTAGTTGCACATTATGTCATCAAAGGCACCATACTTTGCTGCATAGAGTCGAAGCGAGCAATAGAGTAAATTTGAATGCTCAAGAAAATAATATACAGTCCACTCCACCTAACAGTTCTTAAAATATGTGCAATACACAGCCCAATTTAATACTCTTTACAATAAATCCTAATTTGTAGTTTTAAGTACCATCGTTGCCAGTGTTAAAAACAAATGGAATAAAGTAGACAAGGTTAGATTTTTACTTGATAGTGGGTCTATGCCTAATTTACTTACCTTAGATTGTTGTCAAAAATTAGGATTAAATTTTCATAAATTTAATTCAAAGGTACTAGGTGTGGGAGGAAATATAAATACCCTAAAAGGTAAAACAAATCTCATGTTATTTTCCCAAATCGATCCCAATTTAAAAATGCCAATAGAAGTGTTACTTGTTGATAAGATTACAAACCCGTTGCCAGAATTTCCCTATTGACCTTAGCAATTTGAATTATTTGAAAAATTTGCCATTATCTGATCCATCTTTTCATATCCCCGGTCCTATAGATGGGATTTTAGGTGCGTCTATTTTCGCCAATTTGATAGGAAATAAAAAAAATTCGGGGAAAGACGGATCCCCAACTGCCATTAAAACTACCTTTGGTTATGTTGTTACTGGTTTCGTCCAGCCGTTACAAAATCCACCCACTGAATATAATTTTCATACCTTTATAGATGTAAGCTTTCACTTTAGATTCATTAGTAAAGAAAATGTTTCAATTAGAGAATTTTTCTAAACCATTGCCAAATGATGACGATCTCATTTGCGAGAAAATATTCCTTGATAATGTTAGCCGAAGTCCATCTGGTCGATATTCTGTAGCACTGCCCTTTAAATCCGACCCGGAAGAGTTGGGTGATTCTTATTCGTTTTCTAAGTCCCGCTTATTTTCTCTCGAAAGAAAATTAAGTAGATTTCCTAATCTTAGAAAAACCTATTCTGATATTTTGCAAGATTATATTATTCAAGGACATATGTCACTAGTCCCTTCTAATTTGCAAACTATTCCTTCGTTTTATATACCACACCACTGTATTTTTAAACCTGATGGTGTTTCAACTCCCTGCCGTATTGTATTTGATGCCAGTATGAAAACTGATAAAAACATTTCCTTAAATGACGTTCTATACACTGGTCTCAAACTCCAAAATAATGCTGTTAGCATCCTATTAAATTTTAGACTATTTCCTACAGCAGTAACCTCGGATATTAAACAAATGTATAGACAAATTGAAATTATTCCAGAACATCGACAGTATCAAAGACTCCTTTGGCGTTTTAATACACAAGATCAGATTTCAGTGTATCAACTTAACACAGTCTCATTTGGTGTTAAATCGTCCCCGTATTTAAGCCTAAGAGTTATTAAAAAATTAATAGACGATGAAGTTGCTAACTATCCTGATGCTGTCGGGCCCATTAAAACTGATATGTATATGGATGATTTATTAACTAGTTTTCCGGATTTACAATTGGCTACAAAGTCTTATTCACAAATTGTTGCCTTGTTTTCCTTTGGTGGTTTTCAAATCGTAAAATGGATGTCAAATTCATCTGATTTGTTATGTTCTATTCCAGAAAGTTTAAGACTAACCCAAGTTAAAGATTTTGAATCTGATTTTTTAAAGATTTTAGGTTTACAATGAAACCCCTCAATAGATAAGTTTATTTTTAAAATCACTCCCGTTGATTTTGTCTGTACCCAGAGGCAATTGCTCTCCTTTGTCGCTAGAACTTTTGATCCCTTAGGAATCCTTTCGCCCATTATTCTTCTTATCAAACTGTTGATAAAATCTCTTTGGGATTTAAATTATAACTGGGATGATGTTGCTCCAACAAAAATAGGTCAACAATGGCATAAAATTCTGTCCGAACTGTCGGAATTTGGTAAGTTTGAAATTCCAAGACATATTTCTTTTTTCCTGGATTGTAGTTTAACATTAGTTGGATTTTGTGACGCCAGCAAATCTGGCTACGCAGCGGTTGTTTATGCCATATCCAAAGGGCCCAAGTTTGTCAATGTTACATTTCTATATTCCCCAGGCACGCGTAGCACCTAAATTAATTGTTACTTTGCCGCGATTAGAATTATGTTCTGCCGTTTTACTAGCTAAAACATTATTTCATATTAAGAGCAGCCTTTCACACCGTATAAACGTTAAAAATATATTTCTACTTACAGATTCACAAATATCCCTCTATTGGATTCATTCTCAGCCTAAAAGGTGGAAAACTTTCATTTCTAACCGAATAACCTTAATCCAGAGCTTAATTTCGTCGGAAAATTGGTATTTTATCCCAGGTAATCAAAATATAGCTGACTGCGCTTCCCGAGGACCTGATCCCGTATCCTTTATAAAAAACCATGATTGGATCAATGGTCCCAATTGGCTGTCTTATAATATCTCGAATTGGCCCATACAATCGATCAACTAACTCTTAACAACAATTTCCCTTAACATGAATCTTGCGAATTAGTCACCATCGTATCCCTTCCAAAAGTCGAAAATCTCCTTTATTGTATAATAGAATATTTTTCCTCCTTTAGTAAAATGTTAAATGCCACTGCATATGTTCTGAAATTTCTGAAAATACTACCCCGAACTTTTCCAATCATCAAACAAGATCTGGATAAGTCCGAATTTTATTTAATTCAAACTATTCAGAACAAATATTTGTCGAATATATTTAAGGCAATTACAAAGAAAAGAAACCCATAAAATCCAACATTCGCCGTCTTTTATTAAAGACGGGATAATTCGAGTAGGGGGAGATTATCTAATTCTTTACTAGACTATGATCACCAGTATCCCATTTTATTCCTAAATTGGATAACTTTGTTATAGCCTTAATTGATCATTATCATAAATTATATTGCCATACTGGAGCTCATTTACTTTTATCCCTTTTACGACAAAAAATATTGGATTTTATCTGCTAGAACCCCTCGTGCGCAAACGTGTTTGGTTGTGTAATCGTTGTTTTAGAGCCAATCCTAAACCATCATATCCTATCATGTCAGATTTACCATCGGAAAAAGTTAATCAAACCAAAGCCTTTTTGACAACTGGTGCTGACTTCACTGGTGCCTACCCTATCACTATGTTTCGCAAGCGAGGAGTGAAAAGTCAAAAGGCTTATGTATGCATATTTATCTGTTTTGTTACAAAGGCCATTCACCTAGAACTCGCATCATCATTGTCAACTGACTGCTTTTTAGCAGCCCTTTAAACGGTTTTTATCTCGTAGAGGTAATTGTTTAAAACTTTATTTCGATTGCGGAACAAATTTTATTGGAGCTAAAGGTCGAATTAACGGGGTACAAAACCTTTTAGCCTCCCAAGAGTATCGTAATGCCTTCCAAATTAAATTGAATCTTAATAAAATTGAGTTACTTAATAACCCTCCTAAGGCTAGTCATTTCGGTGGCCTTTGGGAATCTAATATTCGCAGCATGAAACTACATTTATCTAGAGTAATTGGAACGCAAATTTTGACTTACGAAGAGTTCAACACAGTGTTGACTCAAGTTGAAGCTATTTTAAATAGTCGTCCTTTATGCTCATTAAATCATGACCCTAATGATCCTATAGCTTTAACCCCTGCCCATTTTCTCTGTGGTTCACCTTTAAACTCCTTCCCTGCGGAAACTTCTTATAACGAAAATATACATCCAGTTTCTAGATATAAACTATTAGAATCGATGATTCAGCATTTTTGGAAAAGGTGGCATAGTGAATATCTTTCAACTCTTCAAGAACGCAAAAAATGGAATACATCCACCCTGTCTATTAAAGAAGGTACTATCGTGCTAATGTTGCAAGAAAACCTACCTCCACTTCAATGGCCTATAGGTATTATTGAAAAGGTGTATCCGGGCAGGACGGAGTTATCCGTGTCGCTAGAGTGCGAATAAAAAACAATTCGTATACTTGTCCAGTAGTGAAGCTCTGTCCACTTCCTACTCAATAGAAATAGTTGTTATTTTTTTTTGTTTCAAAAATTTATATTAATTTGTATCTTAGTATAATATGTGGGTGGATATTATATATTTTTTTTTTTGTATTTTTATGGTTAGTAATAATTATTTTAAATTTAGTATTTGTTATTTCGCTTGAATTATAAATTCAATTTCGGGGGCCGCAGGATGTTTTGGCAATTAGTGTTGCCTACCTATTAGGAACCATTGCAGTTCTAAAAGGCATACCTGCGCACAATTTTTAATTGTTAAAGTCAGTAGCGACTTGAATTCGAACGTGAAAACAATAGATTACGGTCTTACAATTAATATTCTTTCGATATTTCTTTTGCCGATTTCGGTCTGTACTGGTTGAAACTCAAAAAGATCTTCTTATATAATTAATATTTAAAAAACTAACTGCGTAAACAGAACCGTTGTGTTTTGTTACTCTCCTGCTTTGAT